CAGGTTTGTGCAGAGGGGGCTCGGTCCCTCGGCAAAGCTGAGCCGAACCCGGCACGCCAGCGGGGAAGGGAGTAATTGTGCAAACCCAGGGCAGAGGGGTCCACCCCAGGGGCCAGGATGGGCTCCTGTAATTAAAGGGTTTGTATACAAGCCTACGAGGCCGAGCAACATAGCTGGAAGCAGGATCTAAGGCTGGGTTTGCCCTTCCCCACACCCCATGGACTTCAGTACGACTTCAATGTGATGGAAGGATGAAGCCCTCTGCGTTTCTCTTAATTATGGTTGTGTTAGAGTGGCACAAACTGATTTAAAAGCCCATTATAATACACCTGGAATTGAAGGTGCAGGTCTCTCAATTTGCTCTCTGCCTGCTTTAAAGGCAGGAAGGTTTTGAGCACAAAAGAGGGAGAAGGCACAATGGAGATGCCGGGCACTGCGGCAGCCAGAGCACAGTTCCTTCTTCCAACCCAGGGGCTGCTGCCGGAGAAGTGGAAACTGCTCTGGCTTCAACCCGGAGGAGTGGGATGGGGAGCCTGATGTCAGGGTCCCTGCCTTGCTCCCAGTCCCAGGTGGCTTTGGCAGACCCCTCCGTTGCTGGCGCGGGAGCGTGGGCTCGATCCAACTGGTGGCATTGCCATGAGCGGGGCGGCGGCACCCGGGGCTCTCGCTCAGCGAGTCCCAGAGGCAGGACCCGTGGAAGCAGCGCTCTGTAAAACACGGGGAAGTCTGTGGGTGACAGCAGTACGAGGCTGTTATTAAAGGCAGGAGCAGTGGCAGCCTGATGTTCAGGAAGCTGCTGGTGCACATCACAGATCGCCTGCAGAACGCAAGTCTGGATCTCCCTCTTTTTCTTTCTTCGAGATGCTTTTATAGGTGTTCTTTGTTGTTTCCTTTGATCTGGAGCAGATGTTGCTCGTGCTGGGAGATGGAGGTTTGCATGTTTTATGAGGGGGAAGCGAGGCGCTGCTGGGCTTACCGGGAGAGCCCGCTGGCTCACAGGCTCCTGCGCGGTGCAGGGAGCTTTGCTGGGCTGAGCACCCGCTCTGCCCCACTCCCACACCAGAAAGGATTTGCAGGTCTGGAAAGGTGACACGTGTGTTTCTGCACTACTTGCTTGGCTCCCAAACCTAGATAGAAAGGAGGTGGTTAAGGCAAAAAAAATGCAGTTACTCCTTGCAGGCACCCAACTCGGTGAGCTCATGTGAGGTCTTCCCCGTCTCTGGTGGAGAGGTTGCTCCAGGTTCATGCTCCTCTAATACTCAGGGGTCTCCTTGCCTCTTGCTTGATGGAAAGCTCAAATTTGGGGTGCCCGGGGAGCACAGCCATGCTGAGGGGTATATCCAGAGACAGCGGCAGGGAGGTGGAGTCAGGGAGAGGAAAGCACAGGGAAGCAGGATGGATGTTTCACGGAAGGAAGATGGGTGGGGAAGTAAGGATGATAGGAGATGGCAGGGCCCGAGCAGGGGTGTTTATGCAAATCAGGTCAAGCTTTAAAAAGCAGCTGGTGGAGCAATCAGGGAAGGGTTCAGTCACCTGGTCCATGGCCTGCAGTGGGTGCTGTGGGATGGAGAGGCAGCCGAGGAGGGGATGTAGGTGCAGGGGGAGCCCTGCTGCATACCTGGGATGTGAAGATCGGTGCCACGTTCAGCTGCTGTGGGGTACGTGCATGGAACACGTGAGCTTTTGCACCTGTGCTGGCTCCAGACGGGTGTTTGGAGGTGAAAGCGTAGCGGGGATATAGTCAGTGCCAGTGGCAGCAGGGTGTCTGTGCGCCAGGGAGTGTATCTGTGTAGGCATGTGCATATGCTCCGATCCGTAAAGACATATATCACCTGACTGAACGCCCTCAAACGTGTAACGTGCCATATGGTTTGGTTAAATATTTAAGCAAGCTGCTTTCTGTCCCGGGGACTCCGCGTGTGCCAGCGGGCACCAAGTCCGGGCAAACCGAGGGCATGCCCCGGGCACCTGCGGAGGGACTGCAGTGACTGAGAGTCGCCCGGAGACCTTTCCCATCATCGTGGCAAGGACAGGGGGGAAAAAAGAAGTCATCAGATCGATAAAACACCAGCCTGTCTCTGGGGAAATCTGCGCTGTGTCACCGGAGCAGCTTGGCCAACACTGCCATGTTTAATCACTTCTGAGCAAGAGAGATGCTGAACACAAAAGGACTGCCCGCAAGGAGAGGGTTCCCGCCTGGGAAGCCTGCATTTATTTAGCTTTGTTTATTTATTCATTCCCATAGGGGCACAGCTCCATCTGCGTCCCGCGTTCGGCATAAGAAATTTCTCCTCTGCCCCATCGCTGCAGAAATGCCAACTGACGGCGAAAGCGTTCTAGCGTGGAGGGAACGGGAGCACTGGTGACCGTTAAATAATACTAAATATATACTTGTGATCGCTTATTTATTAAGGTTTCCCTCCCTAGTGTGGTAAAAGCCTTACGACATACCTGTTCTGTCTCCAGAAAGGCATTTTAAAGAGTTCGTGCGGTTAATTATTCAAACGTTTAATTAGCATACAGTGACTGTCGTGTTAAATCCTACCACTGCACATTTAATTTCAGGGTTAGCTAACGACTTCGCTGTCGTTGTCACTCTGGTTTACTTCCCAGCCCTCCCTGCCTCATCTCGTCCCAGGTGGGCCACAGTAAATTGCCTCTCCCCAAGTGTGTCCCAAGCTCGCTGGGGCTTGGTGGGCTTCTTCTGCGGTGCACGAGCGGCTCGAGGTGCTTTTGTGCTTCTCTGAGAGAGGTGCAAAGTCTCCCATTGCCCAGCCAAGCAGCAACGGGATCATCCCTCCTCCCCTGCCTGGTCTGAGCCAAGTTGAAATCTCCTACTGGATCGCCGAGGAGGAGGATGTAACGCTTGTGTTTTGGGAAATCCAAGTTTAGTTTGTTTTAATTTATGCTTTAGAACCTGGTCAGTTGATTAGATTACAGATTTTTGTGTCTCACCTAGGCGGGTGCAAACCCGTGTGTGCGGGGCCAGAGTCGCGGCGCAAAGTCTGACTTGATATTTTACTTTTTTTTAAAGTCTCAGGGAGCTCTGCAAAACAAGCTAAACTGGGTTGGCGTGTCTTCAGTAGTTGAAAACATCAGAAAGGTTCCTCTGTGATTTAGCGAGCATCGTGCCGAAGATGATAGCTATTGCTCTAGTTTTGTTGGGACTTACAGCTGGAAGCTATTGCTTCCTCGCAGCTGATGGAAGGCAATTCACTGCACCTCCACTTGTCTCTCTCCACCTCTCCGAAATGGCAACAGTAATACTTCCCTGGCCTATTTTTGTTGTCCAGACCCTAAGCTCGGTCTTTTTAAAGCGCACATGGGTTTCCTGGCTGGCAGTCGCAGCCTCGCCGGGAACACAGCAGGGCAATCGTAGCGCCGTTGTAATTAATTGCATCTTCTCAATGGACTACCTGGCTGTTGGCAGAGCATCTCCCAGCTCAGTGCGAGCGGGTGGTCCCAGGAGGCGTGTGCTGTCCCCTTACGCTGGGCTTAATGACACTGATGCATATTAATACTTCTTTTGGTGGTGTCTTCGTGCCCTCCGCTGTCCTGCCCCAGAGCTGCCACTGTTCTGGGAGCATCTGATCCATAGTCGTCCTCCGGTGCATGATTAGCAGATTAGCCGTCGTGCCCAGAGCAGCAAAAAAATGAACTCCCAGAAGCCCTTCAAAACAGAGAATAATTCATTACCCACCTTGATTTCCACTTAAAATGTACTTTAACTACACTTCCAACTACAAACCCTAAATCACCCTCATGTTCACAAAAAATCCATCATTTTTTATTTTATTGCACGGCGCTGGCATGACATAATCCCTTCCAGAGCGTCTTGGAGTGCTTTACGGATCAATAAATTACTTACCTGCACAGCAGAGGCAATGCGTGCAAGGCCATTGCAGTCATTCCGGCTCGGCGCAGCCCCGGGAAGGTGTGGGAGGTGGGGAGAGACAGGGAAGGGGTGCTCGGGAGTGGGGTCCGAGTCAGGAATAGGGGTGTTGCAGTGGTCTGGGCTGCAGCTTCAAGCGGGTCGATGAGCAGAGCTCGCCCAGGGAGGGTGGAAGGAGCAGGATGCTTTGCAAGTGATTTGTGACTCTCCTGCAAAGCGCCGCAGCGGGGTGCCAATCCGCTGCGAGGCTCCGGAGAATGGCCTGGAAAAAAAATAAACCGAGGAAGGTGATGGTCTTTATTATGTTCTGCAGGTGCAGGCTGATAAGAGCAGCCGATCGTTTTTCTCCTACAGCTCATGGAAACCCCAGCCCTCCCTGGCAGACGCATCACATACTCTGCTCGTGCAGCAGCGGGGGCCAAGCGCTCCCTGCTTGCTCCTCATCCCTTCCCAGTCCCCCTTCTCATCATCCCTCATCCTGTATGTGTGTCCCTTCTTTGGGTCGTGGCCCCTTGTATCTGACCTGCTCCTGAACGTTCATGATGGCAGTGCCGACGCGGCGGCGTGGCTTTCATTCGGTTGAATTTCCCTTCCTTTGCACAGTGATAGACCTTAGAAGTTCCTCGGTAGGCTTGTCATCTTCATGCCCAGCTCCTCTGGGTGCTTTTCTGGTTGCAAGGGGATGACAAAGAGCCTGCAGAAAGAGCTGCGAGCCTTGTGCGTGCTTTGGGTGCTCTTGTTGCACCAGGAATGACTGCTGCCTTTGGGGGAGTTTGCAGGGGGTGGATGCGGTTTTCCCAGTAGGATGCAGCTTGGCTGGAAAGGGTTCGTCACAGCTGGAGGACAGGATGAGCATGAGAAGTGGGGTGGGGAAGAAGTACTGTCTCGCACAGCACGGAGGTGCTGCCCTGAGCCTCCCTAAAATGACTGAATCCCCTCTGGCTACAATTTCCTCCCACTTCGACCCTGTCTTCTCCGCCCCCCCTCTTTTCCCTGTGTTTTTGTGTCAAGTCAGATGGGATTGATGAGCGACCACGTAGCTTGTTGAGATGGAAGGAGGAAAGAAATTCAGCCTCCTTCACCCACATTTTGAGATTTGAGTCAGCAGGCGTTTTCATTTCCCTCTTTGTGTCATTACAGTGTCTCCAGAAATCACCGAGATCTCTTCTGACATCTCTATCAATGAGGGTGGCAACGTCAGCCTCACCTGCATAGCCACGGGCAGGCCAGATCCAACAATCACCTGGAGACACATCTCGCCCAAAGGTAAGACCCAAACATTACTTGAAATATTCCGGGAAGGGCATAGTACCATTTGGGAGCGGCTGGTTCAACTTGTAGGTGCAAAGAAAAAAAAGGTGGTGTGCTCCAAAAAGACATGACTCATGCAGGAGTTGATGACTCTGGTGGAGAACCAGCCATCCCCATGGTCTGGGAGAGGAGCTCTGGACTTTGCTGGTGGAGGACTGGCAGTAGGTACCAGGTTGGGTGGTTGTGCTTAGGGATGGAATGTGCCTGTCCGGCCCTATTTTGAAAAGTTTTCAGGGAATTCTTGCACGTTGCTTCAAAGAAGGACTGTAAATAGTGCAAACGAGCAGGAAAACACATGAAGCATTAATTGGTGGCCTTGTTAATTGGTAAGCAAAACCTGAGCAGAACTGCGTGGGTGGGACTGCTGGGAAGCAAATTCCCTTACACGCCTGTTCGGGAGCATATTATTTCAAAACCCTTTCCCAGCTGGTTTTTGCCATTTGTTTTCCATTTTGCTGACCCGTTCTCCCCGGTGAGCTGGGGGTGAGGTCTAGGGGCTCTGAGGGTGAGATGAGCCATCGGGCCAAGGGGCACTTCCTGGCTCTGATCCTCTGCTGGCTACATCTCCCATCTAAGTGGTTGTGTTCACCCTCAGGCATTTTTTCCCTGGGGTTTTACCAGTTTGAGCTGTTGTCCCAGACATCTGCCTCAAGCTCTCCTCGGGGACGCCCCAGCCGGGCTGTCCGGCGGCGGAAGGAGACGATGCAGCGGCGGCAGTGATGGATGGTGCCATGTCTGCTCTCTCTGTTCAGCTGCCTGACGATGGGTGCGGTGTCTCAGTGCAGCTCCATTGATTTTTTTGCTATTTGTCTGCGCTGTAGCAAACTGCTCGGCCAGATCCATCACTCTCCATAGCCCAGGTGGAGAGCGAGCTGAGTCGGCGGCATCTCAGCCCCTTCCTTTGACAGGAGCCTGTGTAAAAACCATTACACCCCGGTGTACATGTTGGCTTATCCACCTTAGGTGGTCATGCCTCCGAGATAGTGGCCTTCGGTCGGAGTCTGTGCGTGGATGGATGATGAAATGCAGGGCACACATCCGTGCGCTCCTCCCTGGCCCCGAGCACCTCTCAATGGCATCAAAGTCGCTGTCACTGTATCTGTCACCATCAGGCAGCATTTATGGTTGAGGCAGTCCGTGTGCTCCCACCTTGAAGCCTTTTCTTCTTTCTCCTCTTCCCCTTGTCTGCCCCGACAGTGTGTTTTCGTCGCGCTCAGCCTCCTCACCACCTGTTTTTCACATGCATCTTGCTTTCCCTGCATCCCCTCCCGCTCCCCCAGGACCCTCCTCTCCCACTCCTGTGCCCCTCGCTGCCCTCTCCCCACCATGCCACCCACCCTCTCGTGACCAGGCTCCTGGCTTACCCCACCTCTCTCTTTCACGAGGGCTGTTTTCTGTGTTTGCTGCCATCCAGCATGTTTCTTTCTCCGGGGAATCTTTACCTGCGCTTGAACCAGATGTTTCCATTTTACTTAGGACTTAGCTGCTATGGAAACTGAGGATGCATCAGGAGAGGAAGAGTGAGCTAATCAGAAATTACCTGTGGCGCTGTGTAATTTGCAGCAGCAGCAGCTCTTACCTGATTTTGCCCATGATTAGGCGTTCTGCTTTCAAAACTCAAAGGGAACAAACGATCACAGAGATTTACTGGAGTCTGGCCTCCTGCTGATGGAGGGTGCTGAGCCCAGAGGTGGCCCGAGACAACCTCGGTGGCTGCCCGTCCCCGTAGGCAGCTCCTCTGGTTTTCTCCACCAAGGAGCACCTCTACTTCTCCAGTTTGCATTCGGGGCACATAGGATGGGAACCGCAGGGACTGAAACAAGAGCCAGGGCAGGTGCACGGAGGTGCTGTAGCAGATGCTGAGACGGTAACCCTTTCCCTGGTAGGATATGCTCTAATTTGGAGAGCCAGGAGCGAGCGGGGACCCAAAGCGAGCTGCCAGCCCCTCTCTCGGTTGTAGGTTTGCCTCGCCGCTCATCCCCAGGGGTATTCTTGAGCAAGCTGCCTCCTGTTCCTTCACGCCGCCTTCCTCCGTCTCGCTTGGAGTGGTGGAGAAAAGGGACCGGGGAGAGTTGGTTCGGGGAAAGCTGGTGCATAATTTAAGGGTTTACATAGCGGATGGGTAAGCGGCTCGCACTGGTGTCACTGGGGAGAGGCTTTGATAGCGCTGTCTGTGCCAGGCACGGACAGACCGGTAGCTGGAGGAGCCGGTGCCCGTGCTTAACGCCGGTGAGTGCTCCTCTGCGCTAAGGCACTTCACGGGCTGTATTATTTTCTTGGCAGCTGTAAGCCTACTGCGTGGCTCTTGGTGGGAAATGGAGCAAATAAGAGTGTTTGCTCACCGGGGGAGCGTGCGGTCGGGACCTTCAGAGGATTTACACCAAGAGCAGCCTGGCTCCCCAGGGACTGATGTTACTCGAGACCCTTTTCCAGCTGCTCCCAGCTCCCTTGGCCGCTCGGCTGTTTTCTCTCCTGTGCATTGCTCTGGTCCGGTGCAATATGCGTTTAGCAGCTTGGTCTGGTAAGCTCTGCTGAATTTTCATGTCTGCAGTTGTTGCCACATTATGGGAGCCTGATTTTGAGGCTCTGTTTGGTTTGGGAGCTGGAAGAGTCCCCCGCAACCAGGAGGAGAAGAGTGGTTTTGCTGTATAACTCAAGAGCTGAGTGAACCTGAGCAAGAGAGTTTCCTGCCAGGGAATTGCATGGTGGCTGGTCCTACCTGTGCCCATCCTCATCCTCCTGCCAAAAGCAAGGATGCTGGTTCAGGAGAAGGGTTTTGTGAACCAGTAGCCAGTCCAACCAAGACAGACTGGAGCACATGTTCTGTCCCTCTGCCTCACCCAGACCAAGATGCCAAGACCATTAGGACAGCAGTCTGGAGAGGTGTCCTCAGCAGGGTGAAGGGAGGGAGGAGGATGAAGAGGGAGAGAAGGAATGGATAACCATGGTCAGGATACAACATCTAGCATGAAGGCAGCAGCATCATCTTTCCTGAGAAGGTGTAGGTTGTGCAGGGGCCTTGAACACTGGGATCTGAAAGGCAGCATTGTGTGTGCCCACACGTGTTTGTCTTTGCACCCGTAGGTGCTGAGCATCTCTTTGTTTCGAAGGCTTCGGATGTAACACAGTCCCCAGCCTCACGCTGCCGATGCCGTCTGTAAGCTGCGGAGCGGTCTTCTAGTTAATAGTGTGGTTTTGGTCACTCAGGTGTTTCCATAGTTACTGGGCTCTTTATTTATTTTTGGGGGTGACTCTGATGTTGTCATGGCGATTGCCATGCCGTTGGGCCGGTTTGCATCTCTTGGATGGAATTTCTTGGCTAGGAAGAAGTGCGGTGTCCCAAGCTGCCAGGCACAGGGCGATGCCGAAGCGTGCGGAGCTGCTCGCTAGCAGAGCCCGCAGCACCGTGTTGAGCTAACCGGGGGATGCTTATCCGTGCTGCAGACATGAGATTCGTCATGCACCCCCTTAAGCTTGGGAAATGTGCTGAGGAATTGAAGCAAGCTGCAGCCAGGACTCTCCCAGGAAGGATGAGGGCTTGGCAGCCTCTGTCCCAGGAGGAGCAGGCACGGCTTAGCAGTAATGGTAACGAGGGCTCTGTGGTCAGACGGCAAACGTGGTCATCCTGCCGTGATGGGGAGAAGGGCGTGAGGAAAGGGTGTACAAACTAGGTGTGCGCACTGGTACATTTGCCTGGCCGGCACTGGTCTGCCATGCGCAACGTCCTGAGCCAGAGGCTGCATCCAAGTCGTCATCCTTAACAACCTTTGATGGAGTTTTCTGCCGTGGGTTTGTCTAATTGCTGTTTGATTATTGCAGTAGTATGATGGATTCTGGTGTAAGGCTTAAGACAGCGGCTGCCAGAGTAGGAAAACATTACAGTTTGGCTTGATGGTGTATTTACTCGTAAGAGGTCTGATCGAGAGGTCTTTATAGCAGGAATCCCTCATTAATCTCAGGATTAGACTCGGCGCTGAAAGCTAGATCCCACGCGGAGCCGAAGTCCTGAGCTGAGTCCGCGCTGCGATTTGTGGAGTAGGTGGTGCCTGGGCACTTTGCAAGGCAGCGGCACAAGACAGGGGAGATGCTGGGAGGATCCCGATGTTGCTGTGGCCTGAATGTCCTCAGCGATCAGCCCGTTTAACCCCCGTGGCCCTCTGCTTCCTCCCTGCAAGAGGTACAATAGCAGTCCCTTGTCTCGCAGGACCGGTGGGAGGATAAATGCATTCAAGACGTGAGGCGCTCAGACACGGTAGTAATCACAGCTCATATATGCTCTTAGGATAGATGAGACACGGTGGCCTAACGTGACAGAGGTCTCATGAGATCATCTGTCTATACATCAGCAGCAAACCAGCGAAGGGGCTCTGGGAGAAGTCCGGTATATTTGGATATATTGATCCTCTCTGGCTCTTGGCGGGGCTTAAAACAAGAGGACAAATGACTGCAAAAAAAAATCCAGCTTGAAGAGTTGCTTGTCCCTGGCCCAGAGTTTTGTCTATTAAGCACATTGCTTGTGGTCCCTCATCTTTCCAGGATCCTTTCTGGACAAGCGATGGGGCTTATTTGTAGGTTGGATGTCAGGTCTGGAGCACAGAGAGGTGGGGACCCACTTGGGTGGGCAAATCTCTGCTTGCTTCTGTGCTGCCTTCTCCCTCGCAGTGATCAGCTCAGCGTCCCGTGAGATCACTCCCTTTAACCCTGCTTCAAGTCACCTAATTAACTGAAGACTGGAGAGCCATGCTCTCTGCTGGTCCTTGTAACAGGGAAATATCTCTTGGAGTGAGCAGATGGGTTGTGTAAAGCTGCTTCTGTGTCCATCCTGGGTCTCATGTCTTTGCACTGTCTCTTAAGGGTTTCAGGGGGGTTTGGATGAGGACAAGTACCTGCCTCACCTCTGCTCAGTGTTTAGGTGATAGGAAAGGTTTGTCTGCATTGCCTGGGGCTGACCACAT